GGCTAGGACGGGACACGGAGGTTTCAGCGTGTGTTCAACCCCCGCTCCAAGCAAAGAACATCACGTAGGATCACTGGTGGCAAGAACCATCAAACCACACCATTTTAGTGAGCAATTTGAGCATGGGGCAGTATGGGGTTCTGACCGTGGAATGAGTTACAAAAAGTTTCAGGAAGGGACTTCCAGCTGTGGCGGAGCTTGCTCGGATAATACGGGGAGGCCTCATCTTTTTGATTTTGGCCAGCGCAGCTGAAAGAGACATCCTCTCACCTGGAAGGTTTAGGAATTCTGGTACATCGTTAAGTCAAGAGGATAGAGTTCATAGTCTACTTGTAAGACCTTGTAAGCAAACTGCAACTTTGGTCTGATTCCTTCCATTGAAGGGCCTTGCTTCCGTGCGTTAAGGATGCTTCGCCCTCGGAATCGCTAAAGAAGATCCATTTTGCCAGGACTCGGGGCCACGTTGTTGCTCAACAACCTCAAGATCATACGTGTAGGTGCTTGCGCGAGAGAGGGAGAGAAGAAATACTGGGAGGGCGCACCAATGTTTGGCTCTTGCAGTTGAACAATGAGCTTCATCGACAGTTGAGGGGTGGGTACTGCTTGTTTCGGGGGAGGGACACTAGTGTGCGGATGCTCGTCCTGAAGCTTCAGATTCAGACCCTCAGACTGAAACCGAATGGCCTCGCAGCTCCCGCGAGCCAGAGCTGTGTGGGTCTCAGCATCCAGGTCCGTTGCTGCGGGCGCCGGATGCTCTTTGGAGGCTGCGGCGATTCTGGGGTCTTCTCAAGATTTATGGCTCTTCGAAGAAGACAAGAGACTATTGCAGGGAGGAAGGAATCTGAATGAGAAGCTTCGATGGATCTTGATCTTTGTTCCTTTTGAATGTTTCTATGGACACCAGGCTGTATTTGAGCCCGAAGATCTGGGGTTGAAAGACTTTTGCTTGGCATGGACAGGAGGCTTCTGAGTGTCTCCTTTCGATGCGTGTACTGTTGGGGTGACAAGTTGAATCATGGACTTTAGGATGCAGGGTTGAGAGTTTAGGGTGCAGGACTTCTTGACCTTTTGGCTAGTCTTTCTCATGAATGTACCCTGTATAGCTTTCGAATCGGCGACGAAAAAGACCACGAGGCCTGGAGCTGCAAAAAAGGCGTGCGGCCATGGCCTCGGGTTTTTGCTTTGCACCGCGCGTCCTCCAGGTTGGAGGACAACATCGTGGTGCGCTTGGGTCGGCCGGTGGTCTTGTTGGTCTTGGGAGCACACTGGACTGCTTGTCTCCTCTTCACTGTGGGCGGCTTCCGAGTCTTGGAGTCAAAGCTGTGAGAAGAGAGATTGATGAAGATGTAGAGTGTTTCATGAGCTTGGCGTGTGTACATCCCAGCAGGAGGTGAAAGGAAGGCGTGGAAGTTGTTTAAAGGGAGATCTTGCTTTTGTATTTGTTTGGGGCGCATAGAGGCTATTGAGACTTCACCATTCGTTAGCGAAACTTCTTTGAGTGCCAAAGACATGATCCAAGCAGATTGTGGCGGAGCATGTCTTGATGTATTATATAGATCAACATGAAGACCCTCAGTGCCATGACTTACTTTCCTTTGCAGTAAACCAGATTACACCAACACTCTGTGCCGTGAAGGCTCCTTCAGTTGCTTTGAAAGGACAAGAGCTGATCAATCACGAGGAGGAGTTTGCAACGACCTTTAACATGGGATATGGCATCTCAGGCCGGGAAGAGCTGTTTTTGTGACACAAGTCTTACAGCCCCAGATAGTTGAGCTGTCGATGCTTGACGCAGTTGATGTTGTTGAGCCCAAAACCAAGAATGTGGGGCATTGCCCATCTCAAACCACTAGAGCTTTTGAAAGGGGCCTCAGACGATGTACTTTCCCGGATCTCATTCTCGACGTGAACGCTCGTTCCACTTGACCCCCAACAGTGTGAACACTCGTTTCAGGCCAAGTGTCTGGTGGTGTTTCCCTATACTTCATGGCCTTCGTCGAAGCTTTGCCCCTCGGAGTTTCTGGGAACTGGCTCTGGCTTTGGTGGGTTTGATTGCCAGAAGATTCAAGAACCGCGAAGCTTCAGGGAGTGCATTGGCTTGGCATATCAAACCCCCCCACAGACCGTCGCAAAAGGATTTTGGATGCCCAGGGCAGAAATCTTACAGTCTTGCAGCAAGTGAGTTTGGTGCTTTGGAAATTTGGGGAGATTTGGCACGCCGTTCCGAATGCAAAGCCTCTTTTCTTTCAGACTCCCAATCGATTATTCCAATTGACCCCGCGAAGGTTTCTATTGCCCCTCGTTAAAGAACACAAACCTCGCTTGGATGAAGAGTTTCCACTAATTTCACCAGCATAGACCCAGATACCTAGGCAGAATCCCACAACCTGTTGACATGCGACTGGCTGGAACAAGAATATACGCAGCTTGCGCAGCCAGCTTACGGCACCTCCACAGCGCGCACAATCAGCTGACACCAGCACCGGTGCGAAAGCGCGCACAGCCAGCTCATTGTCCTTGGAAATAATAAGAGCCCCATAGCTGTCGCTATATAGGGAACAAAAAATCCTCTCCACCAGGCGCACCCAGCTCACAGCACCAGCACCGGCACCGGCACCGACACCCAGCACCGGCACCCTGTCTCCACCACACGCACAGCCAGCTCACAGCACCAGCACCCGGCACCGGCAACCTGTCTCGAAAGCGCGCGCAGGCAGCTCATTGTTATTTGAAGTGAGAACCCCATAGCTTCGCTATCTGAAAAAATGATCCGAAAATAGACCCCCTCACATATGCAAGCTACACCACCAGCACCGGCGCCCAGCACCAGCACCAGCACCGGCACCCGACATCAGCACCAGCACCAGCAACCTGTCTCCACCACGTGCACAGCCGGCTCACAGCGCCAGCGCCAGCACCGGCACCCGCACCCAGCACCAGCACCCGGCACCCAGCACCAGCACCAGCAACCTGTCTCCACCACGCGCACAGCCAGCGCACAGCACCAGCACTGGCACCCGCACCCAGCACCAGCACCGGCACCCAGCACCAGCACCAGCAACCTGCCTCAGCACCAGCACCGGCACCCAGCACCAGCAACCAGCCCCACCACGTGCGCAGCCAGCACCAGCACCGGCACCCGGCACCAGCACCAGCATTCTGTCTCCACCACGCGCGCAGGCACCAGCACCGGCACCCAGCACCCAGCACCAGCACCGGCACCAGCAACCTGTCTCCACCGCGCGCGCAGCCAGCTCACAGCACCAGTACCGGCACCAGCACCACCACCGGCACCCGGCACCCAGCACCAGCACCGGCACCAGCAACCTGTCTCCACCACGCGCACAGCCAGCTCACAGCACCAGCACCAGCACCCTCACCCAGCACCAGCAACCTGTCTCGAAAGCGCGCACGGGCAACTCATTGCTATTTGAAGTAAGAACCCCATAGCTTTGCTATCTGGGGAAAAACCACTTGCGGAGGGATGTTCATCAGCGGGGTAAGGTTAGTTATGATCCCGTAATGATTTGCATTGAGGTACATGCTAACTGGATCCTTGGACAATCCCCTCGGCGATGGAGGGCCACGACACAAGGACAGGCGGACAGGAAAGGCGACGGGAGACCAGCCAGGCGGGCCAATGAGCGCTGGACTGCTAGGATTACCGGGAAGATTGGCTTTGAAGACATGAAGGATTGGTGAAAGGAAACTCTTTGTTGGTGAGCTTTCTCTTCCAAGTTCGCTCACTTTCATGCTTCGACTTTGACAGGTTTATCACGGTTTATCTGCCCCGAGCACCAGAAGCCCCCCCACGGGAATGTAACACCCGGCGGCTCAATGGCCGAGGGCAGAAACGAAAACCCCACCGGCTACACGGGCCGAAGGAAATCCGCTTCTGACCACAGCATGTGGTCGACGCATGCAGTGGAAAGATGGGTATGGTATGGAATCTAACACTGACTTTGTCTTATGGTTTTCCCAATGACAGCGGTTTGTTTTGTTTTTCTCCACCTGAACCAAAAGGACATGCGAGTCAGTGACTGCAGGACTTTGGATCACTGCTGATGGTGTCAATCTTTGGACCACTGGGATGCAACTTGGATCTTGTTGAAATCCGAATGGTTCCCGCTGTTGCTTCAAGGTGAAGGTAGATGGCGCTTCGCTACACCTATGCTTAAGGATCTACAATCTAAAGCAGTGATTTTGAAGTCATCCTGCAACAACATTGCAAGAGGCCGCCGTGCCCAAAATGTTTCTGGCAGGCCTTCAAAAAATTTACAGTGGGCCGTGAACTACTGGCACTATGGGACCAAAGTACATAGACACATTCGACGACTATGTAGTATTTGCAATCCCCAGGCCAGATTTTTCTGAACCAGTTCATATCTTTGCCTGACCCCTGTACAACAGATTGTCTTTGACGATACCTGACAGATTTTGGACCGGAATTTGAGACCTCTGTCCGGTACTATTCACAATGTGGTCCCAAATAATTGCAACGTTTAACAGCTCAGGCGTGGTTGTGGCGCTTTTTATCTCTGCTATTATGCGCGAGCAGCAACGGGCTTTTGCCTTGGATAGCAAGCATGAAGAGAACAAGGCATTGGTCAGAGTTGGGCTTAGATTCTTAGATTCTTGGGCACTTCGAAGACAATGGTCATAATTCATATATAATTCTGTTCTGATAGTCGATCAAAAGATCTGAGAGAATGTCGATTTGGCGTTCTTCTTGCTCTTTGTACCGTGTCTTGTGTTGGTGGGGTGCCCTTGTCTTGCTTGGTTGTGGCTGGGTCCGCTTTAACTCTGTTGATGTAATGCACCTCTTCTTTAGGATGAACTGGGCTTCCCCAATTCCTTCCTGGACAAGTTGAATTAACATGAAATATGTTTTATATATATATATATATGTGCACAGCTATAACATATACTCTTGTGTGAAATCTGAGACGACCCCAAGCCTTCTTTATGATATCGAACCAACGCGCTGTTTCCATTCTTCCATGTCAACTCCGGGATGCTTGTCCTACCGTCACCAGGCCTTTATGGAGCGTGCTTTGCAGATCTTGGAGATCCCTCCCGAGTTGCAGCGGAGGGTGTGGCTGAGACAGAACAGAGAAGATTTCACGAGGGGCGGCCTGCGGGGTGGGCGGGACTGGGGAAAAGGCCGAAATGGAGGCTTGAGACGACACCTTCTTAGAGACGAAGTTGATTCCATGGGGAGGAGAATGCAGGCAACGACGACTGAAGTGATCCCCATCGGCTGTATTGTGAGGGCTTTTTCCACAGCCAAGGCCACAAGAAAAAGATTGGGAGTTATATATACTTCTAACAGAAGACGTCCCTGGAGCAGAAGGTCACGTCAATCTGCTCATTCATTAAAGTTAAAAAACCGTCCTTCCAATCATCAGTCGATTCCTCCCCCGTGACTCTCCAGCCAAGTGAAGCCGCAAAGCCCTCAAAAGACAGACCATCCAAGGACCAATCTTCCAAAATACATGTGACACACACTATACGCCTCCTTTACAGAGGTTTGGTTCCTCAGGTCACCAATTATATATGTGATGCATTTTTGGTGCGTAACCAGCATTTTGCAGACTCATGCCCAAGAGAAAGACACAGTTCCTAACTCTCAGCAGCTTTGCCCTGGCTTACTCCTTCCAGGAGGAGCCTCAGCAGGTTAGGGCTTCCTCGCTTCCCATGAAAAACCAACACACTCCCGGCCTTCTGAAGAATCACATGGCGGTCTGGAAAAATGGACGTTCAGCGCCAGATTGGTCTTTACAACTGTCTTCAATCTGAGGCTCAGTATGCACCTCTTCCAGAAATTTGAGCACGATGTCGAGGTGGGGCGGATGACAACGGAACTCCGAGGTGAGACGTGCTGATTGGAGTCTGCGGAGCAGTCGTAATCCAGGAAGTTGGAAAGGGGGTTGTTTACCCGACTTGCCAGTCCCAATTGAAGGATGGCCGATTCACTGTTTTGCCAGTGCCGATGAAGGGGTCGGAAGATCGGCCTCATCAGTTGCTCCAGCTACGTGCTCGTCTCGTCTTAGGCCTTCAACAGCTTGTTCGAGAAGAAGAACTTGAGCAAAGCCTTGGAGAACACTTTGCTGGTCTATCTCTACCGGCAAACCCTGGTCACATCTCCACACTTCAGGATCGGAACCGCTGGGAGCTCCTGGGTCGGTGGGTAGGTGGTCTTCAATTGGTAGCTGCCTGTATTATCGTGTATTGCTGTGTGCTGCTTGTGTGTCTTCCAGGAACAAGGACCCCAACTACATCATTGCCGTGGTGAATGTGCTAGAGGACAGTCGAGCTCCCTTGAGCACGCCAGGAACGTCCCAGGGCGGTGTGTTCTGGGTCAAGGCTTTGGACATCCTGAAACCAGACTGCGACACTTGTGCCCCGTCCCACCGGGCGTTTTTACCACGCCCCGTACAAATGTGCCACTTGGAGGACCAAGTCTTTCTGCCTGGGGACTACGTGGTGCGGAAAGGTGAGGTGGCCACCTCGCAGCTTGGCGCTATCAAAGAAGCTAGTAACAGGTGCATCGCTAGTAGTAACAAGTGCATTGCTACTAGGAACAAGGTTCGCTACTAGTAAGTAAACAAGAAGCTGCTAGTAACAAGTGCATTGCTACTAGGAACAAGTGCCTTACTAGTAGTAACAAGAAGCTAGCAAGTAAACAAGCAGACGAGAATGTACTTCGGCCTTTGGAGTTCCGCCCAGCGCGTGCCCGAGGATGTACTTCGTGAGTCGAGGATGGCTGACCATCCTGGTGGCCGACCACGAGGACCATCTGTTGCGAGGGTCTTTGGACAAGGAAGAGGTGAAAGGGGTTGGTTTTGTTGGCTTGGGGTCCTTTGGCATCACCGGATGGTCTTTTAGGCCAGGAGTCCAGGAGTCAAAAGGTCCTTTGGCCTGAAAGATGTGAATGGCTGGAACCAAATCCTCACTTCTTAGCTCTGACCACTTCCGATCCTCGGATGAGTCTGGATTCACTCTCTGGTCGAGAAAGACATAGACATGGAGCCGTCACAGGCAGCCATTTTTCTGAAAGTGCACTCCCAGGAAAACTAGCAGAGGACTAGACCACCCCTGGTAAAGTACAAAACAACAAATCTTCCACACCATTTCCAGCACTTGCCCATATTTGTTAAGGAGAGGGTATCCTGTTTTTTGGTATCGAAGTTCTTCCGCTCTCGAGTGCCCGATCTGATCTCTAGCAGCTGCCAGTCTGATTAGAGGGATCCTGCAGTGATGTTGCTTCAACAACCCATTTTTTGAAAGAAAGAGATTAGAACGGTTAGAGCGACGCAGGCACCCAGAAGATTCGCCAGGATGCTCCCCAATACCGCTGCTCACGCTGCTCTGCAGCACCTCGTGCAGGACGAACACAACGTGGACAAAGCCAAGCCGATCCCACAACGCCTTGGTGTCGGAGATCAGTTTGGCCCGACGCCCCAGCTTGGGAGCGCAGAGCAATCAGTGCTGGAAAGACCTTTGACACATCCTTTTGGGAATATGATCAGATCGACCAATTTTGAAGCCAACAAGGAGCTTTGAAGTGCTGATCTCGTATTCTTCATGACACAAGACCCGGTGTTGGACTTCAAGGTTGTTGGGACAGATGCTGGATGGAACGTGATGGTATGTGTGTGTGTGTGCCCCTTGTAGTCACAGGGATCCAGTCGGATTGTGCTAATTTTTTCGTTTTTCAGCAGGGGGTAGCGGCAGATCATTTGGGACCGCTACCAACGAAGACGCCCATTTGATCTGGTGATATCGGAGTTGGCCACTCCGACGTACCTGCGATTTTTTAATAGTTCAGCAGGTCTTGGCAAGTAACTTTGGCTCAAGCCTCCTACACTCGCGGCGAGCTGCTCTGTATCCCGGCAGGGGATACGTTGGACAAACCCCCGTTCAACGGGTCCACAGGGGGGCACTCTGCGGGCTCACCCTGGGCTGACGCGAAGGTCAGACACACTTATATATTGAAATGCGTATATTGAAATCGTACGGATGCGAATGCCGCTCGCCGCGCGGCGACCTAGGTAACCAAGCGCCTAAGGGTTCACGTGAGTTACAAAACACACACTTATTGAAAAGCGTGCGGATGATCTTGTTCTAATTAAAACGGGGCCCAGTAGGAACAGAAAGTCAGAACTCTCCAGGTACGCAGTTGGACGTCTCCAACTTTATCACAGGTGACTGATGAGCGTCTTTGTTAGCACCGGTCTCATCAGCACCCCCGGTGCCCTGCTGTGAAACGTAATAATTGAGCAGCATCAAAAATCTGTCAATTCATCAGGATCCCCATGATTCCAAGGGTTGCACACTTATGGATATGCGTACTGACTTGACAGCGGTGCCACACGCCAGCCTAAGAAACCCAAATCCTGAAAGGTCCAGGAAAGTCCTAAAGAACCAGGGGTCTTCAAGAGGAAGTGAGGCCCAAAGAGCAAGCACCAAAGCGACGAGTTCGGATCGACAAAATGACGGCGTGCGTGCACATTACCTCTGCAGAGTTCACAAGCATTAGGTACCATGTCTTTGAGGTTCTGGGCTTAGCCTCATGCCATTGGAAAATCGCAGGTACGTCGGAGTGGCCAACTCCGATATCACCAGATCAAATGGGCGTCTTCGTTGGTAGCGGTCCCAAATGATCTGCCGCTACCCCCTGCCGAAAAACGAAAAAATTAGCACAATCCGACTGGATCTTTGTGACTACAAGGGGCACACACACACGCCTCCCCAAAGGGAGGCCTCTGGACGATTCCGGAATCCCTCAAACTGAACCAATCGGCCATTCGTAGAGTCCATTTCTCATGTTTGCGACTCAGTACGTCGATAAGACGTACATCCTCGATAGGCGCGGACAAAGTAGAAGAAAGGCCAGGAACCTCTAGTAGCTTCAAAGTAGCAACCTGGCACCTAGTAGAAAGGCCAGGAGCCCCTAGTAGCAACCCAAGCTAAGGTCCCGACAAGAGGGAGGGGTAGGGAGAGACGAGAAAAGGAAAGGGAAGAAAGGAAGGTGTTCCCAGCTACGACGCAAGCGTCCAAGGACACACCAAAAGAAGGAGAAGGGTTTGCAGCTATGACAAAACATCCAGGGACGGGTGATCCTGAGTATTCCATTCAGGAAAACACCAAAAAGCAAAGAAAGAAAGGGGGAGGGAAGGGGAAGGGGGGGACTAGCCTTGAGCAAACTTCGGTCGCTGCGACCACGTAATTACGGCATGCCCGAGGGCGGCCACCTCTGACCGCTGCGGTCACGTAAAGGCATGAGCCAGCTTGGAACTCCAGAAATGGGACAAAAATCGGAGTTCTGGTGGCATGAGCCAGCTACTGTCCGCTCCCAAAGCCGGGGAACATGGACAAACGCCCGTTCGACGGGTCCACGGGAGGCACTCTACGGGCTCATCCCGGGTTGGCGCAAGGCCAAACACACTTATGGATACGCGTACTGACTTGACAGCGGTGCCACACGCCAGCCTAAGAAACCCAAATCCTGAAAGGTCCAGGAAAGTCCTAAAGAACCAGGGGTCTTCAAGAGGAAGTGAGGCCCAAAGCGCAAGCACCAAAGCGACGAGTTCGGATCGACAAAATGACGGCGTGCGTGCACATCTGCAGAGTTCACAAGCATTAGGTACCATGTCTTTGAGGTTCTGGGCTTAGCCTCATGCCATTGAGTACATGTAGGCAGCTTTCGAGCAAGCCATTAGGCGACCGGAGCGGTCTGAGCAGCCAGCCAATTTGGGGCGGCGTACGTGGCCGCAGCGGCCGAAGCTTGTTCAAGACTCAGTCAAGTCTGTCGGGACCTTAACCCCCTTTCTCCCCTTCCCCTTCCCCCTTTCTCCCCTTACCCTTCCCCTCTTCCTTCTCGGCCTTATATTTTGGGGGTGTTCCTGAATGTAACACTCAGGTACACCCTCCCTGGTGTGTCCCTGGACGCTTTCCTTCTTGCTTGGGTGTCTTCGTCATAGCTGAAAACCCTTCTCTTCTTCTTGGTGTGTCCTTGGAGGCTTGGGTCGTAGCTGGAAGACCTCTTTTCTTTTCCTTTCTTCTTTTTTTTCTCTTCTCTCCCTACCCCTTCCTCCCTCGCGCGCGATGCGTTCACACACAAAAGAGGCGTTGCAACAGGTTTTCAACAAGGTTTGGCTTCATCGGTTCTCGTCCCTTCCATTTGGTTCCATTTTCATCCTTCCCCTTCCCACACACTTGTTCTCCTCTTCTTTTGCATGTCCTCCTGTCTTCATGTCCTGGCATTTCATTCCTTATTTTTTTTTTGCGCACACATCGGTCCCGGGCTTTAACCCAGGTTTTAGGTCGCCCAGGTTTGATAATGAGGTGGGGTTCATTGTTTGCCCCTTTGCACTTGGTTCCTTCTCATCGCAACCACGTACACTTTTGTCCTGTTTTGCCCCCTTTTCATGTCTTCATCCTTTTGTCCGTGCAGCGCGCACGCGTGCACATTTGCCTTCGCCTTAGTTCTTCGCTGTCCCTCGGGGAGGCCTGTGTGTGTGTGTGTAATGCTTGGAAACATAGGGGTCCTGATGGATTGGCAGATTTTTGATGCTGTTCGATTATTGCATTTCACAGCAGGGGCACCGGGGGTGCTGATGAGACCGGTGCTAACAAAGACGCTCATCAGTCACCTGTGATACAGTTGGAGACGTCCAACTGCGTACCTGGAGAGTTCTGACTTTCTGTTCCTACTGGGCCCCGTTTTAATTAGAACAAGATCATCCGCACGCTTTTCAATAAGTGTTGTAACTCACGTGAACCCTGTGCCTGGTTACCTAGGTCGTCGTGTGGCGAGCGGCATTCACATCCGTACGCACTTCAATAAGTGTGTGTGCGCGTGTAAGCGGCTTTAGTTTCTCATTTCAGTAGCTGAGAAAGGTTGAGAGTGGGTCCTCGTTGATCGACTTGGGTTTGTACCCCTCTTCGAGCTTGAGACAGGTGAGATTGCGCTGGTCAGAGACACGGTCCGAACTGCTTGGGTTCGTGCGGACACCTAGAAGCTGAATGGAAGCTCAGATCTGGATGCGGAGGTGGCTGCGCGTTGGCACATTTCGAGATTTTCCGACCACTTTGGTTTGGTGCGTCTCGCTGGTTGCACATCGTTTCCACCTTTTCATTGCCCAACTTTCTGGTTTGGATATTCCAGTAGCACATTCACATGTCCTGGGCCAGGGGACCCACCAACAAACAGACACACGGGGGATCCGCCAACAGGTGGATATGTGGTCAGGGGTTAGAATGAGACTGCTGCACAAGAGTTTAGCGGCAGATTGTCTTTGCCAGGGAGGTGATTCGATTAAGATGACCCAAACCGCCACCAAGATTCGGGGTCCCAAACCGCTTTCCAAAAAAGAAACTATGAATGTCCCCCGTTGGGTGCCCAGCCGGGTCGACGACAAGGTGCGGACACCTATGTCATCGTTTCGGCCCTTCCTTCCAGTGCCATCAGGCCGGTGGAACATGTCGGAGCCAGTTGGGACCATCACTTGGGGGGCAAATGACGGGGGTGTGTCGACAGGGCATTTCATCAGGAATCATGATTCCTACACAGGGTGAATTTTATCAGTTCCGTG